CCAGAGGTGTTGAGAACCAGGCTGGAGCCCTAATGCAAGAGACTGACATTTCAGGGTATTTTTATAGCATGACTGCTTCCTAAAAGATGAAGACCTACTGACAGCCATTCAGATTGAATAACTTGAACACCCGCATAGATTTAGTAATGTCCAGACAATTATTAAAAGTATATGACAAATATTTATACGTGTTGCTTATTTTAGATACCTGCACTTCTTCATTACAATAAAATACTTTGTCTTTAATCTTGTCCAGTCATCTTTATGGAGTACTATGTGATATTAAAAAGTTCATTTTCACATATGTAACTATATCACCTCTTTTTTCAGTTCAACTTTAAAATCATAATGTTTGTTATTTTTAAACCAACATTAAATCACCCATTAAAAAGCTCCTTTGGAAATAAAAGCTTAGATCAAGTTCTACTTCAGCAAAAGTAAATGAACATCAAATCATATTTCTGAAACAAATATAATTACAAAGATGCAAAACATTTTAGATCTTCATGTAGAATTCCAAACCTATTTTAATAAAAACATGAAAGCTACATACTAAATTTCCTTTACAGTGAGAAATTATGTATTTGAGATATTGTTCTTAAAATGCTGAGTTTTTCCTCTGCTGCTTCCTCCTCCCATTGCTTGCTTAAAATCATTAAAAAAAAAAGCATAATAGTCCAATGTACTGCTATTCATATTCAAAATAGGAAACTGATATTGTCTGAAGATCACTGTGTAATGCATTCAAAGAACCTCATATTAATTCTAATGTATCTAAATTAGCACCAATAAGTTGAACAAGGATACTTTGGTCCCTGCAGATGTTACACTTAAGACCAGTTAATCAGGTCTTATGTAGCAACCCACCTACATGTTTATGCAATTAATGTTGTGAAAAAACAAGAAATGAGCCACACAGTTATTCCACAAAAAATGTGTGGTAACGTTGTGGCTGGTTCCCATCAAACCTAAGCCGTATGTGTGGCCAGGCTGCTTGGGCTCCCAGCCTACAGAGTGCATCAGAGCCTTTGATTCCACTGCATCCCCTGGCCGGTGCTCCTAGGCCAGAGGTGGGGAAAATACAGTCTGCGGGCTGGATCTGCCCTGCCAGGCACTTTCATCCGGCCCACACAGCCCCTTCAAAATGCAGGTAATGGCAAAAGGGAAGGGGTGCCTGGGCCAGCTTCTGCCTTGCTGCGTGGGACTGGAGAGGATCCTGCCATGCAGGTAAGGGAAAGCAGCGGCTGGGCAGGCTTTGGCCGTGCTGTGCTCCTTGGGCCGAGCTGGCACCGGGGAGAGGAAGCAGTGGTTGGGCCAGCTTTGCCACATGCTGCTTTGTGGCATGCTGCTGGGCTGGCTTTGCCACATGCCACTTGGACTGGGCCAGGCCGGCACCAGGAAGGGAAAGCCATGGCTGGGCTGGCTTTGGCTGCATGCTGCTCAGGACTGGACATGCCAAGCTGAGTTGGCACTGGCAGGGAGAAGTGACAGCTGAGCTGGCAGAGCCACGTGCTGCTGGGCCAGCTTCATCGTGTGCCACTAGGGACCAGCCTGGCCCAGTCTGAGTGTCACACAGCTCAGCCACCCCTTCCCCTTACCCTGTGCTGGCCCGGCCCGGCCAGGTCAGCACTGGGGAAGGAAAGCCATGGCTAGGCTGGTTTCGGCCATGTACCACTTGGGATGGGATGGGCCCAGTCCGGTCAACACCGACGAGAAGCGGCGGCTGAGCTGTGTGCTGCTCAGGACTGGCCAGTGCAGGTAAGTGGAAGCTACGGTTTTGCCGTGTGCTGCTCAGGCCAGGCCAGGCCAGCACCGGAGAGGAAAAGGCATGGCTAGGCGGCTGGGTCAGCACCGGGGAAGGAAAGCCATGGCTGAGCTGGTCCCAAGAGGCATACAGCTCAGTCACCGCTTCTCCTTGCCGGTGCCACCCCAGCCAGGTCCATCCTGTCCTAAGCTGCACGTGGTGAAGCTGGCCCAGCCACTGCTTCCCCCTGTGCCACTCAAGATGGGATGGGCCCAGCTGGGTCGACATTGGTGAGGAGAAACAGCAGCCGAGCCACATGACATTTTGCTGCATACTGCTGGGCCGGCTTGGCTGCATGCTGCTCAGGACTGGCTGAGCCAGGCCAGCGCACGTAAGGGAAAGCAAAGCTGAGCCACGTGCCACTCCGGCCAGACTGGGTTGGTCTTGAGTGGCACATGGCTCAGCCGCCACTTCTCACTGGTGCTGACCCAGCCAGGCCTGTCCTGTATTGTCCTGAGTGGCACGTGGAGAAGAAGCGGCTGGGTTGGGCTGGGCTGGGCTGGCTGTGCGCTGCTTGGGACAGGATGGGCCTGGTTGGGTCATCACCAGCGAGAAGTGGCAGCTGAGCCACATGCCACTTGGGACCAGCTGGGACAGGCTGATGGAGGTAAGGGGAAGCCACAGCTTTGCCGTGTGCCACTCAGGCTTGGGCCAGGCCAGTACCAACGAGGGAAAGCTGCAGTTGGGCTGGCTGAGCTACAGGCTGCTTGGGACCAGATGGGCCTGGCTGGGTTGGCTCCGGGGTGGGAAAGCCACAGCTGAGCCATCTGCTGCTCATGGTGGGCCGGCACAGTTAAAAGGGAAGCCATGGCTGGGCTGGCTTTGGTTGTGTGCCACTTGGGACAGGCTAGGGTGGCACCAGGGAGAGAAAGCCATGGCTGAGCCGCGTGCCACTCGGAATGGGATGGGCTCTGCAGCACTGGACAGGCCGAGCCAGCACCGGTGAGGGGAACCTAGGCCAGTGCTGACTTCTGCTGTGCTGTGTGGGGTGGGCTGGGATGGGCCAGGTCATGTTGGCAGAGATGAGGGGAAGGGGGGGATTGGCCAGCTTTTGCCACGGTATGAGACCGGATGGGGTGGGCTGGGTCATGCTGCATGAGACAGGTCTGGTGTCCAGTGCTGGTGAGGGGAAGGGAGGATGGGTTAGTTTCTGCTGGCCTGTATGGGAGGGGCTGAGCCAGGTCCTGCCACACAAGTGAGGAAGGGCAGGCTGGGCTAGCTTCTCCTGTGCTGCGGGGTCCCACAGGAACACTGTGCTGCTGGGAGAGGATCGGCCTGGCCACGAGGTCCCAACACTGAAGCCAGGAACCAAATGCTGCCAGGCTGGCTCTGGCTGGCTCCTTGCCCCATGTGCAGGCCCAGCCTTGCAGCTGGCAACTGCTTGCTGCAGCCAGAACAGGACAGGTGGGGCTGGCTCCCTGCTGTGCTGTGCAGGTCTGGGCCTTGCAGTCAGGAACTGGTTGCCATTGGAGCCATGGGCAACCTGGACTGGGCTGGGCCATGGTAGGTACATAGGCCCAGTGCTCCTTCTGCAGTTACTGGCCCACCTACCAAGTTCCCCCAATCACCTGGGCGGCTGTTATAACAAGGACATCTATGTGACTGGCAAGGGCAGAGGCCAGGGCAATACCCTGAGACATGTTATGGTTAAGTGACAAACTTAGAAAGATGTAAATGGATTTTTTTTAATATTTACATTGCTAATCTCACCACTCCACAGAAGAATAATTTGGATATGAGCACACCAGAGAAGAGGAAGGAAGAAGCTGAATGCCAAATATTCAACAAAAAACAGACCTCTAAGTATTTTTTACCCAACTAGGTGGAAAAGCTGCTTGCTTAATTTGCAAAGAAATTGTGACTGTATTCAAAGAAAACAATTTGAATTGACATTGTGTGACCAGGCATGCATCCAAATATGAAAAATATTCAGCCTAAGAAAAAAAGCAAAGAAAGCGGAGGAGGTAGTTGCTGCAATTCAGAAAGAGCAATTTTTTTTCACAAAAGCATTGGCAGCACAGGATGGAATTATGAGAACGAGTTAAGAGATTGCACACAATTGGCAAGAGGAGCAAACCATTCTCTGATGAAGAATTTGTAAAGGAATGTGTATTCGAGTTTGCTGCAAATTTGTGCCCAGACAAGAAAAAGCAGTTTGAGAATGTTAGCATGCCAAAGCAGACTATTATGACATGTACTGAAGATATCTCTGAGAACCTGCACCAGCAGCTGAACAGGTAAAAGATTTCTCATATTTTGCATTGGCATTCAATGACAGCTGTGATGTCAAAGACACAGCCCAGTTGTTAATTTTCATTCATGAAATCACTGAAAATTTTAAGCTCTCAGAACAATTGGCATTGATGCAGTCAATAAAAGACTCAACAACTGGAAAAGATTTATTGGATGCAGTAAATCAATGTGTCAGAACTGGAAACGGATTGGAAAAAAAATGGTGTGTGAGAGACCACCGACAGAAGCCCAAACTTGACAGGGAAACATGTTGGACTGCTCAAAAGAATTCAAGACCAAGTCAAAGAAACAAATCCAGAACAGAAAAGTATTTTTTTACATTGTATTATTCATCAAGAGGTCTCCTGTAAAAGTTCTAAAACTAAGCACTGTCATGGATAAAGTTACAAAAGTAGTCAACTACATTCAAGCAAGAGGATTAAACCACAGGAAATTTGTAACTCTGCTTGAGGAGTCTGAACCTGAGCACAGATGTTCTCTATCATACCAATGTAAGATGACTTAGTTTGGGTAACATTTTGAAAAGTGTGGGGGAAATGAGAGCTGAGATTGGTTTATTTTTGAACATGAAAGGAAAAGATTTGGATTTCCCACAGCTGAATGATGCAGATTGGCTCTCTGATTTTGCATTTGCTGTTGATATCATGGGTTACATGAATTATCTGAATTCACAACTGCTTTTTGTTCATGAATTGCATTGCAGTGTGAAATCATTTATGACGAAGTTACTCCTTTTCTCCCATCGGAGAAAACAAAGGTTTTGGCCATTTTCCTATACTGCAGCAGATTTCCTATACTGCAGCAGATTTCCTATACTGCAGCAGACCATTTCTGATCCAAACCAAAAAAATACATGTCATTACAAGTGGATTTGCATGATGAATTTTCTTGCCGATTCAAAGATTTTAAATGATAGAAAAAGACTTGTCTTTGGTCTCCTCACCTTTCACATTTAATGTTGACAGTGTTCCATGTGACCTCCAACTTGAGCTTATTGACCTGCAGTGTGATGCATTGCTTGTGGAACAATTCAGATAAGTGCCACTTCCTAGCTTTTATGCTTCTCTCAATGAACAGAAGTTTCCAAAGGCTCATGCCTGGAAGACACTTGTGCTGTTTGCATCCACATATGTATGTGAGCAGACATTTTCTGTAATGAAAGTCAACAAATCAAACCTTAGATCTTCAATGAGCGATGACCTTACAGCAGTGCATTGCAACAGAGATGATGCCTGACTTTGATTTTCTGGTTAATGCACATCAGAGGCTTCATTCTTCACATTGAGTTCCTGCGTTTGTCTTTAAGTTAATCACTACTCAAATTATTTTAAATAACATTAAAATCTGTTATAGTAGATGTTTGATTTTTAGTATATGATACTTTATCTACACTTTGGTAAAATGATTTGTTCTGAAATATTGCGTGTGTGCAGTCCTTGACTCAGTTGTTTTGGTTTCGTTCTGGGAGAGGTCTGATGCCCCTGAAACCCTACCAATGGGGCAGGACATTAGAGGGGTCATAGCCCCTTACCTGATAAGCTGTGCCTGTGCCTTGTGGCCTAGAGGAAAGAACTCTCGGAGTCCCAGGAGCAAGCCATGCACCATGAGGGTGGGCCCTCTGAAGAGGCAGTAATTCCCAGTCAAGGTGTAGACCTTCTGATGTCAGGGATCATGTGATGAGGGCAGGGGATTCTGGGACAGATGTGGTGAGCAGCAGGGCAAGGTTTGGTGCTGGGTGGGTCTTATGACAGACCATGAGACAGGGTGTGACTTCCAGTTTTGAGGCCATACCCCATCCCAAAAGCAGTACTTCCCAAGGCAAGGGACTTCCGGTGGCAAAGGTCAGGGTTTAGGGGGGCAGGGCTTCCAGTCCCAAGATGGTGACCGGGGGCAGGGAAACTGTCAAGGGGCAGGGCTACCCATGTGTGCCTCGACAGCTCACTAAAACTCATGAAGCAGCCCTCCAGTCGAAATAATTGCCTGCCCCGTCCTAGGCTTTGTAGCATACTGGTGTCAAGGGCTCCCATACGCCCCAGCAGCTGGGAACAGCAACTTGCACGCACTCCCAGCCTCCAGGGCACAGCAAAGCCTTAGAGTCTGCTACACCCCAGAGACTGGGAGCAGTAGCTGACTGAGGCTGTGCAGTATGGTACGAAACATGACTGCCGGAATCTTGCATCAGATCCCCATTGTGCTTTTACCTGTACATCCATCAGGGGCCTTAAACTGATTGTTTCATAAACATCTTAGAAACATTTATATGAGGTACTAAGCAGATACTAAAAGACCTGTGCAAATACAAAAATTCCTTGCTTCTCCCCAACCTTTACCTGCAATAACCTACTACTCTCCCTTTTAATATACATAAGTTTGTTACAGTAATGTCTATGATTTAAAAAAATTCAAATCTTCTGTTACTGAACTTGCAACTAGGTAGAATGAATCAATTAATCATATTAAATAGAAATAAAAAACATCTTCCATCCAAAATTAACAACAGAATGCTGTACTTACTCAAATACAAAATGAGGTTTCCCTCCCAAATCATCATGAAGAAAAAAGACCCTCACTTTACAATCACATACAAGAAAACCTTATTAAATACATTATCTATCAAACTGTTGCTAAAAGCAGCATGTACTCAGGAATGGAAACCAACCATGAACTATGGAGTTGATTCAAGGCAGCCAACATTCAGCATAACTATAAAACATATAGCTCATATGGGGCAAACATAGTAATCCAAACCTGTGACAAGTGCAGCCCATCCAAACAAGGTGTATGGTAATAACCATAGCATACAGTCCCTCTCTGACTCTTTTAAGTCATGGTGACCCACTACACTGAATACATTTTTACTTCCTCTTCATTCCCACAGCTGAGCTGCACCTTTTCTTTCCTGTTTCCAATTCTTCCTGTTGCTTCAGCAGCCTTAAATGTTTAGCAAACACCAAAAAACAGAGCCTCACACAGTATACCCAGAATCAGTATGCCTTCTGTCATCCCCTCTCTCAGCCTGTTGCATATGACGAATATAGGCCCACCCTCCATGAAGTGGAGCCAGACTAGGTTTGCCTATGCCTTAACTGTATATACATTTTTGAAGGATCCCCAGACTCAAAGCAAAAACAACCAGTTCCAAACATGAGTGAGGGCTTAGTACATGAAGCCTTTGGGGAAGGGATGGTGGAGTATCTGGAGTACACACACACACATATACTGAGTAGTGCTGTGCTGCAGTCACCATGGCTTGAAATGTTGTTGATTCTGCTTCAATGAACTATATGGTAAATCATGAGCCTCCTGGCTTTGGACTCTTATCATGCATCACTTGTACTATATACAAGTAGCTAAAATAGTGCTGCTTAAAAATGTGTTTATCGAGTACTAGTGTGCTAAAACTTACAGTAGTTTCAAATAAGGTAAAATGCAGCATTCTGGATGAAGGGATTAGACCCTAAATCTAAAGGGTACCTGCAGAATTTTGCCTATCTGATGTGCTTATTTCAAGGTCAGTACTTTCAAATTTGCCCCTCACTACCATGTGTTCAGGGAGAACAGGGTCTGACTTAAGGACAGGGGAGGGGCTGTAGGGGGGAAGAAGGCTGGGAAGGGGCAGAGGGCAAGGGGGCTACCTGACCCCCAGATTTGTCTTCCCCTCTGTAGCAGTGGCAGGCACACAAATTCAAAGTAAATCCCCAATAACTAGATTCTCTACCTGGTAAATTATATCAAATTTATAAATTATGCATCTAATTATTGGGGGCTCATTTTATATTCAACTGAATATAGTAATCCATTCATGCATGCATTCAAAGGAGAGAGATGTTCTGTTTGAACTTACTATCAAGAATAATCAAGATAATTTGAAAATTATCAGACATACAAATGACAATGGATTGAGTACTGAAAGTTAGAGAAGCATAAAGAAAAGCACTTTTCTACAAATATACTGTCATTAAAAATCTATAATATGAAACCTATCTACATTAAGTCTCTATTTCCTTATATCTATTAAAGTCACCCAAACACAAATATACATTAAAAAGTGAAATGGTTAAAATATTAACAGGAGCCTCATTAGATGTACATTAAGCTAGCTAACCAGTTTGAAATATTACTGATAAGTTCAATTTGAATAAACACTCTACTATTAATCATCCAAGACATCTTTGTCTCACCACACTTTGCAAAACTTAAAATGCTATTCCCAAAGACACAATTTGGGTATTGAAATGTTATTGATCTCTTATACAAACTATTTCTGAAAAGAACTATTCCCTCTGGAAAAATGTATTTTGAAAAAAAGAAAAAGACCTCATAAAACTGATTACATTAGAATGTTGAAGAACACTGGGCAAAGAAGGGACTCACACATGGCAGTGCCTTATAAAATCCACGTATTAATAGATCTACAGAAAATACTTATGGTTCTAATTCACTGGGCAGCCAACACAAAGACAAAAAGTTCACCTTAAGAGACATTTATTCTATAGTCATGTTAAATCACACGGTAAAAAAAAAGAACCAAAAAACAGGGTGAGGGAGGACTCAAGAGTACTAATAATGTAAGGCCCTAAAGAAAGACCAGAGGTCAGTAATAGTGTTTTGAGAGAGATATTTCCAACCTGAAAAGGATAGGTCTGAAAAGGGAAAAGATAACTAATACAAACTGATAATATACAACTAATCTATATGAGAGGATTTGGGGTAAGGAGAATTAAAATTCTGATTTGTACTATTTGGGGACATAAATTCAGCAGCAATAGCAAATATTACAGTGAATCATCCTGTTTTATTTTGGGTGAGTAACTAAAACACAGGTATCCAAGACATTTAAGACATTTAATTTACTGTACTGAAACTGCCTAGAGACTTAATTTACTTTAAGAAACTTGCAAAAAGACTCCCTGTGGAAAAGCCTATAGAAAGGGCCTCTCAGGCAACCCAATGATTTAAATTCCCTGTATTTGTAGGCAAAGAATCTTAGAAATCATCCAATTCAAACCCTCACACAATCCAACACAAAGCATTTTATGAAAACAAAAACACCCTACAATGATTCTCAACCAGGTTGATCATTCTCCCTGAGGGTGCTATAAGATCCTTTTAAGGGTATCCCAGGGTATAGCTCAGTATTAGCGTTGTTAGATGTGTAAACACCTACATATGATTCACAAGATAAACCCAGAGATTTCAAATAGGAACTCATAGTGCTAAAAACATTCTGACCTCCTGCTGTATTCTGAGTTCTTTGCAATAGAATTGTTCTAGTATTTTTCTGTAGTCAAAAAACAAGCAAAAGCTAGGAGCTGGCATTTTACAAGGGATGCCTGGAACCTAAAAAGGTTGAGAACCACAGTCCTACAAGCACAGCTGTCCCTAGGGCTGTGAGGGGCAGTCGCCCAGCTTGCCCCTGCCCCCCCCCCGGGATGACTCTGCCTACAAGATGCCACAGGTAAAGAGCAGGAGAAACAGCCATCACAAATGCCATGCCACTGCAGTGCCACACAAGTAGGTTGGTAAGATGAGTTCAGAAGACCTAAATAAAAGAGGGCAATGACCCCATGCTATAAAAGGAAGGCAAAACTTCCAATCTTTTCCAATCTGACCTGGGAGAGAAAATTATTTCCTGATTACAAATCTGGCAGTTAGTTTGAACAGAAGAGCAAGACCTTCTACCCAGGTACCTGAAATGTTCCTAAATAGTAACAGGCACACCCCAGTCAAAATCCTACCTTTTCCTGTTCTCAGTGCCCTTTTTAGACTCCAGGCACCCCTCATTAGACTTGAGACACTGCTCAGAAAATGCCAGCTCTTAGTTTTCACTTGGTTTTTGCCTACAGAAAAACAGAGCAAGTCTTCTGTTGCAAAGAACTCAGAAAGACTACAACAGATCAGAACGTTTGTGACACGATGGATTCCTATTTGAAATCTTTGGGTTTAATCTCGTAAATAATGTTTGTACACCTAACAGTACTAACATTGCATAGCATCCTGCAGCACCTCTGAAAGGATCTCAAGGCACTCCAGGATGCCATGGCACCCTAGTTATGAATCACTACTTTAGAGGTTGGGAGGTGGGGACAGCACGACCACATCTACACACACCATTAATCAGCCATTAGAAGCAGTAATGAGCTGCGGAGG